CCCTGCTTTCTGGCTCCACCGCTTTGTGTGCTCTCGTGACGCGCGCAAGAACAGTTCCGGACGGTAACAACAAGTCGCCCGTGATGCTCCGTCTGCTTTGCTGCGCCCTGCTCCTCCAGCTGTGCACCGGCGGCCTTGTCGCTGCTGTGCCGCACCGGTGCGTGTTTGATCACCTGCCACGGGTAGTTCGCGGCGTGGCCCGCGAGGTGGCGCCGGCGCAGCCTCCTGTCAGCGTCTCCGTGGGCAGTGACTGGGTGCCCATCCGCATCCGAGTCTTCGCGGACAGCCTGGAGACGCCGGGTGGGTTCTGCTCCAGGGCCGGGGAGCGGATTGAGATGTTCCTTGGCGGCCAGATGGAATGCCAGGAAGAGGACATTCTGACGGAGGAGAAGGTGGAAATTCTCAAGAATGTGATTCTCCCCGAGGCGGCGAGGATGCACGGCGAGCGGCTGCAGGTGCGGCCACTGAGCGCTCCGCTGGTCGTGCCGCGCTTCCGCGGCGGGGGCGTCTGCGGGGCGTTTGAGGTGCCGGCAGAGCACCAGACGGAGGGGGTGCCCGACGCAGACATGGTGTTGTACGTGGCCGCCGTTCCGACGTTCAAGCCGGCGTTTGCGTGGGCGATGCCGTGCGCGACGTTGGGGGCCGGTGGGCGGCCTGTCGTTGGCGTCCTCAACTACAATCCGCGTCACATTGCGAACACGTCGCAGCACATCCGCGCGGCTGCGCACGAGATGGCGCACGCCCTCGGCTTCGTTGTGTCGGACATGGAGGAGCGGAGGCTGGTGGCGGAGGTGGCGGGGTTGCGGGGGATGAGCCGTGCGTACGTTGTGCACTCCACGAATACGCGGGAGAAGGCAAGGCTGCACTACGGCTGCGAGTCGGCGGCGGGCATGGAGCTGGAGTATGTGCCGCCAATGCGACCGCCGGCAGCTGGGGGGCAGGCGGCACGGCCAACGCAGTCGCGCGTGACTCCACCGGGGCCTCCGGGACGAGCGACAGAAGGGGCGCTGCCTGCCCGTAATGGACCGGTGGTTCGAAGTGTGTCGGCGGGCGGGCAAAGGCGAGAGGGAGAGAGGCCTCCAACGTCCCGTGGAAGACCCGTCGCAGGGCTTGGGGATACTCCACCCGGTATGGATGGGCCGGGGGGACCAGGAAGAAGAGGGCGAGAAGGTCCGGGGCAGTCTCTTTCACCACCTGGGCCCGCTTCTTTGCTTCTTGCAACACCGCAGGCGGCGGCGGCGGCGGCGGCGGC